CGAAACAGATTTTTTTTTTTTTCTATTATTGAAGTGTTTGCTTGGTTGAAGATAAAATTTGATTTGTAGCTGAAAAAGCAGATGGGACCCCCTTTTGTGAATCAGCCAAATTTTTGGTAAATGATATATTTTGCAATGAGAACTACAAATCTATAAATACTGCAAATCAGCTGTACAATTAATAAGTAAAATGTTTTCATTAAAAGTAGCATATGTAATGTGATGTGTGGCTGCAAAAGTAGATATACAGTATGTTTTATACCAGTATTACAATAATGATTCAATGATTCATTTAATACTAGAATTTATGTAATTCATTAAAACCATTTTTAATATTTTAATTTTCATAATCTTTATTATGATTTATATTTTTAATAAATAATAATAAATATTTTGTAGATAAAAAGGAGTGTTTGAATGACAGGACAAACAGATTGAACATTTGAAAGATTGATATGTTTATACCTCCAATAACTTCCGATACCTAATATTTAAAATGAATTTTCATAAAATAAAAAACTTTAATTTTAGTTTAATTGAAAGCTAAATGATTAAATTTACTATTTCCAGTAAGCAAATTACACTGGTGTATTTCAAATAGAAATTATATTGATTGGAATCATTTTTTTTGCTAAAATAGCTGATTAGCAGTCTTTTTTAGTTGTCTTCATTGCAATGTAATTCTCTATTAAAAAAATCTTTCAAAAATAAAATATACTTTTCTGAAACTTTGAGGAACATTAGCTGATTTAAAGTGTAATTAATCTGATTTGAAACAAATATTTACTTTAAGTTGGAAATAACAGAATTGGATTTTTAAAACAAACTCGTAAATCACTTAACAAGTGCTTCTGAAGGTATTGACAGATTTATCGTTCTATGGAGACTTTATCTCATAAACATTATTTAAGAAAGTTTCGGTGTGAACACTTTTTTAATACAATTTTTAAGTACTACTATATTGAAAACATTCTCCATAATCTAATTTTAGGAATGTTGACTTTAAATTTACTATAGTCATTGATCTTATTTTCTAATAATGTTGTGTATGGTCACCCATATTTTCAAAATGGGCACATTTATACACATAATTAAAAATTATTTCAAATATCTTGGTTTGTGATGGTTCAATTTTTGCTTCGTAAATATAGTCTTTGCATAATAACCTAACAAGGTGAAAGTTTTAAAGAATTTCTAAAAGAGTTTTGAAACTTTATAAATTATTATCATTAAAACATAAATGAAATCAATTTTTGTAAAAATTCATTATTCATCAAAAAAAAATTTTTTTTCTTCAGACTATAATGTCCTTAATATATATTATTTATAAAAGTAATTAAAAGCTTATCTAATTAAATAATATCAGTTTTATTGCAGTTTTATATTACAATTTGGAGCAGATTTTGGGGAATTGAGTAACTGTTTGAAAAAAAATTGAGTCCTGTGTTTAACTGTGACACTGGGCTGTCGGCCTGTGGTAAACTCCCACTCGTGGCATGAAGCTGTAATGTTTCTTCCATCGGCATTTTGGGGTTGACTCTTAGTCGCTGCCACCAGCCTGTGTCCCAGTCGACCAGTGGTTGTCACTGCCACCAGTCTGTGTCCTGGTCGATCTGTGGTCGTTGCTACTTGGCAGAATCCCTTTGTCAAGATACCAATATGTGACACTGGCCTGTCCAGGGTCGAATTCTGGTCATTGATGTTAACGGCTTCACACCAGCTGTACTGGTTTGCTTGACTTTGTTCATCAGTATAACTTGCTTGTAGGATAGGTGAAGTCGGAGGTTGTGGAATCTCTTGGTCAGCTTCTGTGAAGCAACACTCTGGTTCCCGCTGCTGGAACTGAACTGACTTGACTCAACTGACTGTCGAATGACCTGAGGATGTTCGTTTATATGCGTGCCGACTAAAACCCAGTGCGGAGCCAGACGTGGCTTGCGGTTCTCGGTAAATCTCGATTCCCAACAAGAAATCTCTTTGTCAGGTCAGGAAAATTGATTACTTCCCATTTTTGGAAAATTAAGCACTTTCCATTTTGTGGGGTCTCCCTCGTCCATGAGGGGAGGTCGGAGGAGAGCTATCTTTCTAAACTCTTCCTCTCTCACATTGATATCTCATACCAATCCCTTCAGTGGGCGTTAATAACTTCTCCAACCTTCTCATCCATTCACCTCTGCCTATCACCATTGCTACCACTCGACCACTGGCATCCCGGTCAAAATTTTTACGAATCCCATATTGCCACTTAAAATCTATCATATCTTTTGGTCACTCAGAATCCACTTAGCCAGCACCCTTTACCAATTCCATCAATCACTGTCAAAGTTTGCCATCTGGTCCCTTTGTGAAGTTAGCTTATACTGGAACCCCTGGCTTCTTGAGAAATTAAATTCTTTATCTCACCAAATCACAAAGATAGAGTGGAAGAACTCTATCTTTTCTCCTGCCCAAAATTTTACAATCACTGTATTGCTACTCAACATCTTGGCGTCTGAAACCGACACCTTGGTAAAGTAAATAATAATGGTCCTCTCCACCCGTATCAAGACAAAAGCAAAAATTTTATAATCACCATATTGCTGCTCAACATCTCGGCGTCTGAAGGCGACACCTTGGTAAAGTAAATAATAATGGTCCTCTCCACCCGTATCAAGACAAATGCAAAAATTTTATAATCACCATATTGCCTTTCCTTGCTGGCACTCAAGAGAAAAAAAAAATCTTGGAGAGATAATTAATTTTGATTCTCCCTACCCTGTATCGGCAATCGTCTCAGCCCGAAGTTTTTATGACCACCATGTGGTCTGCCTGATATCTTAATGTTTTGTTTATCCTTCTGAATTCTCCCATTTCTCTTGCCAAGGCACTTCTTTACAACAATATTAATCAATTTGATAAAATCTCACATATGGCTTTTTCTACAGGTTTACTGTCTTTTGTGAAAAGTATCTTTTTTGTAAATAAAATAAAATCTTCTTAACATCGATCGGGATAACTTCTTTCTGCCTTCAGTATTTCCTGTTTTAATTTCTATGGTTAATTAGTTCGCAAATTACTATAGGTAAATAGTGTCACATAACTAATAAAACAAATTTGCAGGATGGAATTTATTAGACTGGGTAACAGATGTAAAAAAAAAAAAAAAAATTTTTACCAAGATTTTCTAAAACTAATAATTTCAAAAATAAATTCATTCATTTGTAAATAAGTCCTGAAAGTTTCATTAAATTCAGACAATTATTTGATTTTTGCAAGAATTTTCATACTAATGTGTTATTTTACCGGGAAAAAAGGTGTGAAGATTCATAGCTCTGTTACACCATTGACACATAAAAAACAAGATTTTTAACCAAAATTTTGAATGTGTTAGAAATGATTAAAATGTTTTTTTTAAAATAATTTTAAAATACTTTGGTCTTTCCTCTTATTAATAGCATAAACATTTTGATGATAAAATTTTGATTTAATCAAGTTTGGGCCCTTTTCATCATGCTATGCTGTTTTTTGGTGAAAAAGTGCAGGTATCTATTTATTAGTGAGGTGTTTGTACAATTAATACAATATGTATTGTGGGGCACTTCAAAGTGGTGTAATGGTTGGCAATCTTGTCTCGCGAGATCAATTTTGACTGAGTAGCGAGTTCACTGGATTTTCCACGCTTTTGGCTTTAGAAAGTCATCAATATAATAATTGTGTGCATGTTTTTTTCTTCTTTACTGTATATCTACTTTTGCCCCCCCCAATAAACTTGTAGTCATGGATATGTGCATCGTGTAACAATTAGTGGTGCAGAAAGTGAATTTGTCAAGCAGGTTTCAAATTCTGACTGCTTTTTTATTCACTGTGTGATAATGCTTTTGGAAAAGGCATGAATCCATTTTACTTCAACTATAGGTTAAATAGCAGGGCATACTGGGCTCTCTTGCCTTGAGTGGGCAATCAGTCTGCAAAAGAATGGATTTTGTCAGGCTGTCTTGTTCTAGAAATACCACTGCTACTATGGCTGCAGTATATGTGGTGTCCTTATGACTCTAATGGGTTATAGGACTTGTGATGTGAGGAGTCATGAGATAAGTATTCTTTGACAATTTTTGTCTGGATCATTGTTTGCTATAATATTGGTGTTATTATCCTAGTTTATCATTCCTCTACATCCTTGTCGTTCTCCTCCTCATCATCACAAAATGTTAATATGGCATCCCTTTGACACCACACCCACTTTTGCATTGTTATTGTAGTTAATACCTTTCACCTTTTTGTAAATTTAGTAAGTAAATGAAGTTTCACATAAATTAGATTTATATAATTATCTTCTTCATTACAAAAAAAAAAAAAAATGAAATAATTTAAAAATGTCTTTTCTTTTCTTTTAAATTCAGTTAGAAAAAAAGTAAAGATATTCTCTGTAAAAATCACCACACTCTGCTTCTTAAAAATAGTTGAACAAAATTTTGAGTGTAATTACATTTAGTAAAATGAATGCAATCTAACTCTGGCATGCAAGAAATCTGGGTCTCATTTCTAGCATGAGATTGACAAGATCTTTGGATTTTGCTTGTTGATTATGTGTAGTTTTATGTTTCTTTATAATTGACAACCAAGTGATTTTAAACGTTGACTGCCAGAAGTCCATTATGAAATCTAACTTCAAACACTAACTTTATAATAACCATCTTAAGCAATACAATATATTTTTCAAATACTTTTTTCAAATATTTTTCAAATACTTCATTCGTGTGTTCAATAACTATTTCCCATAAAATGTTTGTTATTAGTTGCCAGTGTGATTTTTCATTCCTGCGTTAAATGCCAGGTACCAGGTATTTGCATTAAAAACAACAAATAAACTCGCAGTTGTAACCTTGATGGCAAAACAACAAAATAATGAGATGTGGTCAGCATCATAATAAAAACTGCCAACCACAAGTTATCTCATTGTTGACAACCAATTCATTTAATAATTTGTTTTTCTAACAAACCTTTGTGTTTTGTCATTGTAGGATACTGATTGTGTATCGGTAGGCTCTCAGCTTTATGCTCACCGGTCACGGCCTTCTCTACTTATCCAGGATATACGGATCCATAATCCTTCTGTAAGTATATTTCTTATTACTGTAAACTTTATATTTAGTTGGTACATGTGTTTCAGTAGACATCCCTGTCTTTTTTTTTATTTTTTATTTATTTATAAACAACGAGCAGTAGAGCCCGGCGTTGCCCGGGGATATAACAGTAAGAGATAGATCAAGTATCCACCATCATCAAGACTGAAAAATAAAATTGACAAAGACTATTGTTTAAGGTTGACGGACACGCATGTCTTTAATTTGTTTTTTTTACGAATTGGTCAAACCCAAACTCAAACAAAAACATTGTTTTCAATCGTTATGAGTCTCTACCGATTGAATAGAATTTTATTATAAACAGTTGTCTTGTAAATGGAATTTTTAAAGCATTCTGAATGTAAAAATAAAGAAAAAAGTGTGCAAGACAATAAGAAACACTACATGCCAAAAAAAAAAGTCAAGTTTTGTTGAAATCGGTTGAAAAATTTAGATAGCCTTTCTGTAATCTTTTAGTTTTACAATTTATGATTTTTACTTATTGAATACAGTAAAAAAAATTGCATATTTTGCTTGTGGTGATTCATAATTAGAATTCTGATTTGAATATATTTTCCACTTGTTTCTAATACAAAAAATATTAACTTTATTTGGGTTTATTAATTATGATCTAACAATTCTTATTCATTTAATAGCCTTTCTGTAATAATAATCTTTTACAATTTATGATTTTTACTGATTGAATACAGTAAAAAAAATTAGACACCATGTGTATTTAAAGTAGTTTCCTGTTATTATTTTTAGTAAGGAGGACTTGTGTATGTTTAGATTTCATTATCTTTCCCTAGAGATAAAGAATTATCCGATGTTTGGAGTTGTACAATCAGTAGAGATCGTTAGATTATTGTTTAAGGTTGATGGTTTTTTTTTTTCTTTTTTTTTTTTATGAATTGGTCAAACCCAAACTCAAAGAAAAACATTGTTTTCAACCGTTATGAGTCTCCTGATTGAATAGAATTTTATTATAAACAATTGTCTTGTAAATGGAATTTTTAAAGCATTCTGAATATTAAAAATAAAGAAAAAAGTGTGCAAGAGAATAAGAAACATTACCTGCCAAAAAAAAAGTGAATTTTTGTTTTATCGGCTGAAAAATGTAGGAAATCCAATCCCATATTTAAAGGAACCCACACACACACAAACAACCTGATGTGAATTGTCCCCCTTTCATTCTCATGATGTCTCTTAATCGTGTTTTCAAATTGATTTTGTGCAAAAACAATTGTATTCTTCCCATTTTTGGGGCTGTTAGAACCACCACAAGGTATTTTTATGTAGTCCTGTGAAGTTTTGTTGAAATCAGTTGAAAAATGTAGGAAATCCGATCCAATATATAAACGTTACAGACACACACACACACACACACACAATCTGCGTTTTATAATATGTAAGATTAAATTGATGTCTACCAGGCTGGCCAATAAAAAGTCTTATTAAATGAAACATACCTTTCAGTAGGGATTGAAACAGCAATCCCTTTATCCTGGGAAACTATCTTTTAGCTAGCCATGCTTAACTGTTCAGTCACAAGAGATCTCACAGCAAAGCAAGATTCAATAAACCTTTTTAAAAAAAATGCTCATCTCTCATTGATGCTTTTCAAAGCCTATATATTTTCTTCTCTCTTTTTTTTTTTTTTTTTTTTTTTTTAAATCATTGCTTTTCCAAGTAAGGCATAAAGCCACTAAGATACAAAAGGTTACCGAGTCTGAGAGAATATGAAAAACAAAAACATTATTAACCCTTTAGTATTTTACCTGCTCAACCCACCCCATAAATATTGGCTCTCAATGTTCAATGTGTCGTAACATAATATGACAACATTATCGCAAACAATGCAGGAAGTCATTTGGGCACATTGAATACTTAGGGGTTAAGGAGGCAGAACAATAAAAGAACAGGAATTATGAAGAGAGAAGATAATAATTGATATTGCATTTAAATTTTTGAAGATGAAATATTTGTTAACTTCATTTTAGTTCCTGAAAACAAAGTGCTGGTGTGTACTACCCTCAAACCCCCTGACTGGGTGTGGGGTCAAGCATGATTGCATGTACTGCTTTTTTTTATAAATTCTCCAGGTAATTTTTTATGGTCTTGGGATATATACATGTGGTCCTCCACTTCTTTTATTTGCATTCAAACTGTCTGCAGATTGCACAAGTGTGAAACTCTGGCTACACTTAGGGTTATCCTATCATATATATATGTGTGTGTGTGTGTGTGTATAATCCATTAGGATTTCATTGGACTGGAACAACCAATGCATTTGTGTGTTATTTTTTAAAATATTCCTTTTGTGTGGGAGTGAAAAAAAATTGGTCCCCCCCCCAATCTATATATGGACATGACCAGACAAAAATAAAATGCCCACTAGATGTGCACATGCACACACATTATCAACTAAATCCTACATAGACCAACTAGAATTATGATACTCAAATGCACAAGAATTAAACACACAAACGCTACCAGACAAGACAAATACATGTGTGATCTAATTAATCAATAAAAAACAAACAGCACAAACATGAAGAATACCAGAGTTTATCTTTCATATTTCATTTTCTGATGAAGCTTAAATAAAAGCAGGTTAAATTTATAAACTTTTGCTATTTTGTTCCTTATTCTAATCTATATTTAATCCCAATTCATATATATGTAAGCAGCAAATATTCATTTAAACCAGTTTAATTAAAAAGAATTGACACAGTCTGTTTAATTTTTTTATTGTATTGGAAATTTTCAATAAAAAATGAAGCAGACTGACCTTGTCAGTTCTTTTTAACCAAACTTGTTTGGAGATATATATATATATATATATATATATATATATATATATATATATATAATATTATATTATATATATGAATAAATAAATGAGTAAAGGCAAAAAGAAAACTTATCTTTTATGAACATTCTTAAATTCTGAAAATCAACATTTTCACTTTTGTGTATAAATACTTGTTGCAAAATAAAATCTTTACATTTGCCTTGATAAAGTCCATTGGAGAATAAAACATATCAACTAAGTTTTCCTTTTGTCTTTATTCTTATATCCCTAGCCAGTGCATACTACCCTCAAATCCCCTAACCCGGTGGGGTGAGGAGGTCAAGTCTGATTGGAAGCCCAGGGCAGTGCTTTGTGGTCCTCGCTATCTTTTTTTTTTTTTTTTTTTTTTTTTTTTGTGAATTTTGTTTTGTTTATGCTGTCAAAAAAAAAAACACTATATAAAAATTCACTATTTTCTATTCATAATGTTGAAAGTGTTAAAATTCTTCAACTTTTTAACAAAGAAAAATTTCAAGTTGATGTTAAAAACTGCTGCAAAACATTGTTGATTTATTTAAGATGGAATAATCTATTATGATATGTCTCTAATTTATATTTAGATACATTGTATTTATTTTCATTTTTTCTGGTGTAATTGTTCATCTATATTGCATATGATCCATTATTGTGCATAATTAGGTTATAATAAAATTTGTATTTTATATGAATACTACCTTATGAAAATTGAAATGTAGTAGAGTGTGTGTGTGTGGGGGGGTGCGCTGCCTTATCATAGATTAGTGGGTGGTGGCACAAGTCACTTGCACCAGCCCTGTGTGTTATATATAGCATGTGTAGACACGCTTGCATTATCTTATAAGTGAAGCCAAATAATAAAGATATTTTTATATTTTAATGTAACTTTCAGTGTCATTTGAGAACATAAGTAATTATAAAATATTATGTCATGAAAAATGTTTTTACCAACAATAACATTGATTCATTTACTAAAATTGAAAGTTTTGGTGTTCTATAAATTGAACTAATTTATTTGTAAATATTTTCATGTAAAGGGATTGGACTGAGAACAATAAACGTTTTTTTTTTATTTTCAGTCCATCCCTGTTGTGGTGGAATTGCACAGATTTAAGGCACCTGAATGGACGTGGTCACTCCAGGAATATGTTGGGTAAGGAATAAAACAGTGTATGTGTTGTACATTCACATCTAGTGGGAATTTTAGTAGCATTTTTTTTTTTTTTTCCACATTTGATTGAAGAAGACAGATTTCTTTGTTCATTTTTATAAATGTGTTTATTGATAACTCTCAAAATTATAAATTTATTACCTGTTAATATTTCTCCAAATGTATGCACAAACACACAGTGTTTGACAATTATTAAGTGAATTTTTATTTTAAACATTTACTGAATAATTATTTAGTTGTATTAAATGCATTGATAAGGAAGACTGTGGTCAATAATAAATGTTGCTAAAAGATTTTGCATTGAAGAGATTAATATATAGATATTTATGAAATAAATTATAACTGAAATGAATCTTTAATGTTTAAGGTTTTCTTCTCATTTATTATTATTATTATAATGCTCTGTAGTTTACATTGAGCGCTCACTGGATTAATATCTTCCTTGGAATTATCCCTACCAGTCACAAATTGGTAATATATATATATATATATATATATATATATATATATATATATATATATATATACATATAAGTATTTGATATTTTCTTTTAATAGGGAAATAGCATAGATTTTTGTAGATAATTTGTCACCCACATTTCATTGTAGAAAAAAAACAAATATGACATTTTTTCCGGTTTAATCTGTTTTATTTTTTCTAGTTATTCTTTTATTTGACACATTTCTGTCAATCAACATTTTCATATCAGCTGACATTTGAAGCAATCAATGGTCTCCACTTTGAATGGTCATTTCAGTTGGTTTTTGGCTGGCCTCATTTCAGTTTTCCATTAGGAATCCTTCAGAGGATTCATTAGGTTTTGAGCCTTGAAGATAGGGACCTTGTTGCATAATGAAGATTGGTCTTTGAAATAAGACATAGATTAGCTTGCTTTCATAACTTTGTCATTTCATTACAAAATTATTCTACCTGACTCCTTTTATTTAGTCTCTTAAAATGAAGACTAATTCTTAAGACATTTCATGTTAAATGTGCCTGGTTTCTTCTCTTGATTGGATTTTGAGTGTCAAAATGCTGGATGTAAATAATTTTGGCTGCTTAGGTGAAGAATAGATGAAGGTTTCTTGTCGAAAAACTTTCTGCTGACCTGTAAATAACTTGATAGAATTGGGTCTTATATACTGATTTCTTATAAGAGAAGCTGTGAAAAAAAGGAGCCATTCCAGTCAGGTAATAATTTGTATTGATATGAATAAGACAAGAATTTTGCACTCCCTAAATGTCCATTTTTGTTTGTTGATACATATATGTGTATGTGTGTGTGTGCACACACACACATATATATATATATATATATATATAATAAAAAGACTCAAACACTAATATTCCATGGTGGCCATAATTTATTATTAATTTATTCCATTGGAATTGTAAATACAATCCAATTCATCAGACCTACAAATTCAATTGAATTTGTAGGTCTGATGAATTGGATTGTATTTATGTATTTCAAATGTAATAAATTATGACCATGGAATATTAGTGTTTGAGCCTTTTTATTATATCCTTACTCTGTCCTGTACATTGAGTTCTACCTGGATTCTATCCTCTTGGAATTTTTTTTTTACACAAATATGTATGTATGTATGTATATTTATATATTTTAGATATATGATTCCATATGTATGTGTATATTTACTACTAATATTATCATATATATATATACACACACACATACATGTATATATGTTAATGTGTTCATGTTCATGAACACATATTCAGTGAAATAAGATCAAAACAGCTGGAATGGTGGTGTGTTGAAATATTTCTTCAATTCTGTAATTCGTATAATCCAGTAGCACACTAGTGTGTCACAAAATATTGTCACAGCATATATATATATATATATATATATATATATATATATATATATATATGTGTGTGTGCGTAAGTAGTAATGGTACAGTATTAGTATTTGAATAAATGAATAGGTATTAAACTTTTTTCAAATAATTCTTTTCACTATTCTTCGATTTATTTTAAATACTTTATTTTAATATTCATTTTTTAAAAAGTATTTTTATTTTTTAATGTAACTTTTTAAAATTTTTCTTATTGGAATAAATGAATATCAACCTTTTTGTTTCATATAGCTGTATTCAACATTCTTTGTTTAAATCAAAATTTTTACTAAATTATATTGAATTATAAATTAATTGCACATTCGACCAAACATTAAAGAAATTGCGAAAAAAACACCAGGCACAGGTTTCACACTAAATAAGCTGCACAAACAGTTGAATAGAAACATTGAAATAAAATAAGTTCATATTTATGTGTGTATTTTTTTTAAAAATATATGGTTTTATTTCACAATATTTAAATGTATAAACTTTAAAAATTTTACTTTTCATTTACTCTTAGTTGTGCTGTTGCTTAAAAAGGTTGGGAAACACTGATATTATGTTTTATTTTATATAAATTATCAGTAAAACATGCATTCTATAATTTGAATTTCATCATATTGAATGGTAATAATGTTAAAAATAAACAACTAAATACACTAAATACTGATGAGGGTTAGGGGTGACTCTGGGTGATACAAATCTCCATAAACATCATAAAATTTTGCTTTTGTACTGCAGAAGCAGTTCGTCCTCCGATGGTGTCCAGTTTCATCAAGCAGAACGTGTGGTTAGCATACCCAACTCAGACCTTGTGGTTGTTGTTTCCATAGCAGTGGTCAGCATACCACAAAATGTGCTTGTCAAAGCATTGAGGTAAGAATACGGTGTATATTTTACATACAGGAAACATTTGGCATTCATTGGCTGAACAGTGAGCATTACTGCAGATTGAAATTTGTAAAATCTTTCTCTTGAAATAGTTTTTCAGGAAATATATACTAGAGTTCACTAACTTTGATCACTCTACTATTATTTATTTGAGGTTGTATAGATTGGTTTGGTTGTTTTAGTTTAGCGGCATATCATATATATACCATATAGGTATATGGTTATATATTTTGTATGCAGTTAGGTTGTGTAGAAAGTCGTCTTGATTATGTCATTATTTTCCCTTCTAATTATATGCTGCCTATTTCTGTTGTTATTGCTGTTGGAAGTCTTCAAGTGATGATGTGGCTTATAGCCATATCATGTTGATCTTTTACGATCATCAAAGTTAGGCAATGCTGATATTGGTTAATATCTATATGGGTGACTGCTTGGGAATACCATGAACTGTGAGCTTGGATGTGTGTGGCTGTGTAATGGACAACAGCTCAGAATTGGAAGCAGCAGCTTCCCCTGATCACTACAATCCTAACCTGCACACGTCTAGTGTTAACTTCCTCTTATATCCAGATAAAATGAGCTTCTTACACTGTAAATCTACTTTGAGTGGCTCCTGAGCCTTGTGCAAGGTGAATATCATTGTTAAAAAAAACAAAAGAAAAAAATGATGTCTGACTCCCATTACAGTCTTTTTTTTTTCTTACCTGTTTTAACCTTTTCTATTTGTTTTTTGTTATTTTAAACTCTCTTATAATGTTCCTAGTTCTAATGAAGATGTGTATATAATTATCCATATGAATTTCTTTTTTCTGTATTTTTTTTTTTTTTTATTTTGCTTCAGCACTCTAAAGCTGCATGTAGTAACAGTGGTGCATTATTCACAGCCACTGGAGCAGCAGTATGCACAGAAGTTGAAGCAAGATCTTGCACCTAAGGTGCTTGCTGTGAGTATTTACTTTTGAGCTTTCATTATTAATTATCAAGGTTGCTTAATATTGATATCATGAACCTCTCTTTTCTCTCTCTCTCTCTCTCTTTATCTCTTTGTATGTGTGTGTGTGTGTGAATGGTACTGATGTAAACCTTTCATGTGGCATTGTTGCTTAAACACTGGAGGATAGTGACCTGCCCCAGTTTTTGTTGTAGAAAAAAGAGAAAAAAATACCAACAGCTATCTCATAACGATTTACTAAGCATAGCTTAAATGTGACACAAGGCTGCAAGTATGGGGACTCCCAGTGTGGATTGAACTCACTTATCAGTGGTAATTGATTTAGCAAGACCAGATAGCTTACCATGATACAACAAAACTACAACATAAAACACATCGCCTCAAGTAATTATGTCCACACAAACATGTATATGCACAAAAGCTGAGTTCTAATGTAAAAGCCCTGCTGCTGGCAGCTATGTCCTGTCACCCCAGTGGTTCTGGCCGCTAAAAGAAAACCACCTGGTCCTCCTCTGGTGAGCTGAAGGAACCACCACTATTCGCCACGTTGTGAGTTTTTGATCTGAACAGCAGTGTTCCAATCCTTCAGAATGGTCCGGTGGTAAAGGATGAAATGGCTGGGTTCTACACTGAAAGGAATTGCTATTTGTGCAAAAAAAAAAGTTCTTGTCATAACTGCAAGGACATAAAAAATAAGCAGCACTTTCGGTTCCTGTATAAAGAGCCTTTCAAGACTACTGCTTTTATGTCACTACCAAAGAAATTGCATGAATACAAAGTGTCTTAACGAGATTCCCTTGTTTGGGTTGGAAAGTCACAGAGAGAGAAAGACGATTATTATACTGATAGGAATTCAGCTGATCTAAGGGAGGTAATTCGTGGGTTTTCATCTGCACCCTACGATATAGCAGTCTGCTTTCTCACAGCTTTGTTGACGAAGTTATCTAGATTCGTACGGGTTCTATTTCTGTCTCTTGGTTCGGATCAGTCTTCTTGATGCAGGACAACCAACTGACCAGACCAGCAAATTCCACCAAGCCGTTTTCCGCCGCTTCTCTCCGTTCTCTGTCCGCGTTCTGTTTAACTCGATCGTGCAGGTGGCTTATATAGAGTGGGGCGGAGCTAAACAATTTTTAGGCATCGCCCATGAATTTTAATATGCAAATCGCCTTGACTACCATGTGTTTCCGCCTAATTTCCGAATCTCTGCGGGCAACCAGTTCTCACATGGTACTAAAAATGAATTTGGATTCCCTGCTGGTTTTTCTGCAGACATCATCTACTTAAGATTTGCGAAAAGCACTTATCTCGTCTAAGAACTTTGGCTGGATTTCGTCCTGCAGACCACCCAAAAATCCAATTCACCATTTATCACAAGCTTTACTTAATGAACCCGTCCATTAATCACTCTGAAATTAATTCACCTAATTAACTAATAACTCACACCCAGAAACAATTAAAAAAAAAAAAAAAAAACTTATTTCTGGAATTACTCTGGAATCCCTTCTACCCAACTAATTAGTACCTGGTGGGGTGGGGGAGGGTTTCTCTCTCTCTCTCTTTCTCTGTCACAGAGTAAACAAAATACTATGAAGGTATAAAATACATTTTTATAGTGAAAAATACCAGCAATACATTTTTATATAAATTACTAACAATACGCACATACTAACAAATTGTAGCGATTTCACCCAAATCCATTTAAAATGCTACCCAACAACCAACATGAAAGAACTCTTTCATGACATTAATCCATATAATATCCTACAATTTCTTAAAGAAATCGAACTGCATTCCAAAATATAACTTCAACAAAACTACAGCATAAAAAACATATATTACTGCCTCTAGTAATTATGTCCACACAAACATGTATATGTACAAAAGCTGAGTATCATCTACCATGTATTCTATTGTGAAAGTAGAATGACATATCATAATTTTATTTCAAAGTTCCCAAGAAAATTAAATTTCAGCATTAAATGACCCATAAGGAGTTGATATGCTGTTAAATAAACAAATGAATCAATCATTACACTTTCACCTTTGTACTTTTTAGGCAGAAATTATGGATAAATTGACTTTTCTTTTACCAAGTGAGCATTTTCTTTTATATTGAAGGATGCTGTCAATATTCTAAATATATAGAATAGTTTTTTTCTTTTGTGGGGGGGGGTAGTGGGGTAGCAAGCCATGCAGAGCCTACTCTGTGTCTCGTGTAACATTGAACAATAAGTCCATTGTTTTTAGTTGTTCTGTTATATTCATGTCCATCATATGTTTGGATGTTGGCACTTCTGCTTGGTTGGTAAGATTTCAATTTTGATTCATTCTCTAGTTGTGCCTGTTCTCTAGTGAAGGTTGATGATTTTAAAAGTATATGTTCACTGTGGTTTTGCTGTTCTATTTTTAGATGATTTTAAAGTAGAGAAAAGTTTCCCTTGAAAAAGGAAGAAAAACAAGCAAAGTAACAAGTAACTTGATACCAAAATTTAGTTGAACTATTTACCATGAAGATAATACAAATAAAGTTGTGATAAGTTGGACAGTGAAATGGAAGTAAGAGAAGAGTTGGGGTTCGGTTATTCAAGTACCATGTCATTGGATCCAGGTTTCTGACAATTAGTTTGAGAAGCATTCTGATAGTTTCTGAAAATTGGTGTGTCCACCAGATTAACCTGGTATGAGCTCAAAATAGCATTTCTGGGGGTGTGGTTAAGTGGTCTATTCACATGCAAGATACATAGGCTCACCTATCGTTTGGACCAAATTCCTTCCATGTCTGTTGAACAGGAGTAAACATCCATACCTTGTTTCCTGCTTTTTTTTTTTTTTTTTTTTAAGTGTTTCACCCCAAGCAAGGTGGGAAGGGGTTACAGAAGATTTGGAGCAAGATCAGATAGGAGTGATAGAGGAAAGGATGAGGAGAGAAGGATAGTGGATAGATCAAGACAACTGGAGATGTCGATTGACATTACATTTGAATAGTTGGAGATTATAGCTCTCAGGGAAACTGGAATAGGGAAGGGAGTTCCACAGGCGAGAGGTGCGAGACATGAAGCTATTGGAGTAGAAGAGATGGCTACATTTAGTAGTTTCGACAGTGAAAGGGTGAGAGCTGGATGCCAGCCTCGTAGGGCACTTGAACTCATGAAGTCTGGGAACCAGCGAATGCAGCTCCTTGGAGCAATTGCCATGAAAGTATTTGTAAAAAAAGACAGAGGTGACAGTGCGTCTGTAAGAGAGTGACTGTAGACAAGATGCCAAATCAGGGCCAATTATATTGCATATTACCAGTTCTCTTTCTTCTATCAGGGCCACAGTGATTTAACTGTCTTAACTTTTTGGTGATTGGTGACTTTCCATTGTGAGTTTGCTGGCTCCTGCTTCCAGCTGGTCATTAAGAGCCTGAACTCTTTGGTTGCACTTATAGAGGTTGCTCTGATCAACACTTGAACAATATCTGGGTATTTGTAGTGCCATGTCGTGCATGGGTAGGTGTTGCTGCATGTATTTCCAGTGGTCAACTCCAAGGCCACACTATGTTCTGCTCTTAGCCCCGCTCTGGCTGGTTTTTATTACTATTGATAATAGTGACAATTACAATGGTCTTTTCTCTCTCTCCTCAAAACAAATCTCATGGAAACACAACAAAAAGAAATACAACTAAACTAGTAAATGAAAAAGCCACCTACCTCTCCACCCCTCAGCCTTTCTTTCAAGAATATTTGTGGTATCCATTCTAACTTCTGCAGTGTAGAATCTTTCCTCTTGGAACAATCACCAGATATCTTTGCCCACCATGAAAGTAACTTAAATTCTTCCATTGCTACCAATAAATTCTTGGTTCCAGGGTATCTTAACCTTTGCTGAAAAGATTCCAGCATTCACATGCATGGTGTTGGTGTTTACATCTGGGATAATCTTTCATTGGCCAGGGAAGTGTCTCTTGAGGCCATGGACTACTCCTTGTGCTTCCGTCTTTTGTTACTAAACTCTGTTACCTGTGTCTTTTGACTTTATCGCTCGAGGTCAAAATGGCAGCCGATATCTAAAACGACCTCATATCTGTCGCTAACTGGGGCAAAAGATGGCTTGTTAATTTTAATGCCTCCAAAACTAAACTTCTCTTCATTAATCATCTGAGAGACCCCCTGCTACCTTCCATCAGCATGGCCGATGCTAATCTCCAGGAAAGTGAGTTATTGAGCCTTCTCAGGCTCACGTTCTCTTCTGATATGAAATGGAAAGACTATATTGAATCCATTTTTAGGTCAGCTGCTAAGAAAGTTGGTTCACTGTGTCATGCAAGACAATTTTTCTCTCCAGAATCTATCTTACATATCTATAAGTCTACCATTCATCCATGCTTAGAATATTGATGCCACATATGGTCCAGTGCTTCTGCTAGTTAGTGTGAGATCCTTGATAAGATCCAAAGAAAATCAGCAATATTATTGGTCCTGATCTGGCAGCTCAGCTCTAGTCACTTTCCCACTGCCATTAGGTTGTCTCTGTCTTTTTTATAAATACTTTCATGGTAATTGTTTGGATGAGCTCTTTGCTATGGTACCTAAAGTTTTTGAATGTAAGTGTAGTACTAGACTGGCGCTGAGATCTCATCAATGTACAGTTGAGCTGACTAGATGTACCTGTAAGTTCTATGCTAATAGTTTCTTATCTCACACTTCTCGCTTGTGGAACTCCCTTTTGGCTCGATGCTTTCTAGCAAACTTTAATCTGCAAGAATTTAAATGCAATATCAATCACTATCTACTGTCCTCCTGATAATTCTCTTCTCTTTCTGCTCATCATTATTGTTTCTGTTCCTAATTCTTCTGCACCCTGTAACCCCTTGTGCCTTAGAGGCTTTACTGCCTTGAATAGGTGATACCGATTTAAAAAAGAAAAATAGCAGTGGGGATATGAACAGTTATAGAGACACTCTTTCAGTATCCATACAGAGGTCTTTCAATCACCTGTAGAATCATGTCACATTGAGTTGCTGCACTTTGTCAGGCGAGAGGGAATGACACATGATACGAGGCATCTGTCTCATTAATTACGGCATGTCATTATCAGATTATGAAAGAACTACCAGTTTCAGATCTGGAAACTAGAGTCAATAATTTGGTTGGACAATATTCTTTCCTGCCTTCATTAATAAACATGATTCTGCTTTTCATTTCTATCCTCTTTTTCTCTCTGATGTTTATTTCTCATCATTTCTTTCAATTTGTATAAGAGTCATTTCTATTGTTAATGTTCGGAGGATGCTGTGAATAAACATCGAATTACCAAAATCCTCCACATTTTATTTGCTGATCAAATATTTTTTTATCTACAGAATCCTGTTATTTTGAAGTTCTTCTTCATTTAATGCTTTTGAGATTTTCCTTTTAGGAAATGCAAGAAGTTCTGCTGATTGATGAGAAGCAATTACGACAAGAACACACTAAAGTGTGGAGCAAGGTAAGAACCATTTTCAGAATATGTTTATCTGTGGCTACCTGCCTACCTACAGTGTATCTAATACTTCTTACACTACCTAAAGAGAAATTCACTTTACTATCACATGGATGATTGAATACTTTTTTTTTAATTAGAGAATCATAAAATAGAAAAACAAAAGTAAGAGTTGATCAGATTACATAAAAACAGGATATATATATATATTTGTGTCTGAGTATTTAAATTCAGATATAACTTAAAGTATATCCGTAAAAAGACATTTTTTAAATTCAAAATATTTTCCCTTTGTGTGTGTGTGTGTGTGTGCATTTATATATATATATATATATATATATATATATATATGTGTGTGTGTGTGTGTGTGTAAATAAATAATACCAAATCTGTAGGTGGTTGGGATTATTCCAATAATGTTTTTTAATATAAAAATATTAAAAATGTTAACTCCATGATGAGAGCTCAATGTATAAATTTATATACAGAGCAATATAAATAAATAATAAGGAAAAGACTTAATTAGTCATCATATAATCAGTGGTTATAAATTTATTTCAACAAGTGTATGTATATATATATATATATATATATATATATATATATATATATATATATATATATAAATCTGCCTCATCAGACTGACTACATTTTATTAAATGATATAAATTCAGCCATACAATTTGATAAAAATTGGACATTTAAAAAAAAAAAAAAAAATATGAAGTAACGATTTTAACTTGACCTTTAAAAATATTTTTTGAGGGGCTTACATTATTGAAGAGAAAGAAGTGGGAAAAGGAAAAAAATGCGTGATCATTGTCATTAATTATTATCTATTCTTATTTGCTATTGATTTAACCTAACATAATTAAATTGATACTGAATAGTTGTGATCCTTAATGCATTAATCCTGCATGGACTTTGAATTTATTAGGATTATTTTGGTAGGAATGTGTGTATGTATGTATGTTTTCTACATCTGTTTTATATGGGTGTTTTTCTAGGTGCATGTATTTGTGTGCATGTGTATTAAAAAAATATTAGTTTTTGTCTATATGTATGTTTATATGTGGGTGTTTATATTTATGTGGCTGTAATTTTTTGTTTTTGTTATGTATTTATGTGGTTGTCTATGTGTGTGTATGTATACATATCCTTTCTTTTTTTTTTTTATTTAGTTTGTTTATAACCTGATATCTGTCTTTCAACTACTTATACATTTTTCATATGTTATTTTGGGATTTTTACCTTTATTTGATCAAAAAAACCCTTTTATCTATATGTTTGTTCTTGTATGTAATTTTTGATGGGTATATTGTCATTTTATGTTTATATGTGTGCTTAAATCTTGCTGGGTTTGCTTATTTGTATTTACTGGTAATATTTATGAACATGTCTTGTGTGTTTGTCTTATGCAATCAGAAGATTTTCAACTGTATGTGCCCTGATATCTTCAAGATTTTAGAAATGATAAATCATAACAAAAGCCTCAGCAAATTCAATGTCTTTAGCCATTAATATATTTAGTTATATTTAATTTAATTAATATATTTAATTAGTAAGTAATAGTAATATTTCCAAGTGTGCCTGTCTATATATTTAATGATTGTTTTAAATATTAAAGATCAGATTTAAATATATTTTTCAAAATAAAGTTTAGCAAAGAAAATATTCTCCAAAATTAAATTTTGTCCACGCGAAACTTTTCTCTGTTGTCTTTCAAATCCATTCATTTCATGAAAATAACTGAATTATTTTCCTTTTTTTATTGGCAGCTGCATTTACATTATTCTCAAAATCTTGCACATTAAAAACAACTAAAAAAGTGATACTTTTCTGCTTAGAATTTACATTTTTAGTGGCCATAAAACTATTTGCATTCATGCATGCTGTCAATTGCATATATATGTAAATTTAGATTGTAAAATGCATCATGAATTTCATGTTTTCTAAAATAATACAATTTTTTTATTTTTCTAGTTGTGGTCAAGTGGTTTCAGTATTAGCCATTCGAAAGCAGCCCATGCGTTGAACGGACACAAAATCAACACCACTACATATTATGTACTGAGCAATGTCATGTCTCCAATGCATGATTTAAGCTCTACAGAATTAGTCAGAAATGACATCATGGGAATTCTTCATCATCCAGATCAATGCTACAGTGGCCATTCCACTCTGTGAGTATCTGAACCTCAAACCAAACCGCTCAAAGCAGATTTTCTCAAAGATTTTTCAAGAATACACCATCCCAAACTCTGGTTCTATAAAGGCAAATTTAGGAGATAGTTTCTTAGGTTGATTTGTTCATATCAAATTTTGCATTTTTCTTGCTTGAAACAATTTCTTCTGGTCACATCTCCAGCCATCATCTGTTCATAAAATAAAACAGCAGCATGAAAAGCATTCTCATCCAGTTCCTCATAAATGTATTGAGTTTGTGTTGTGTTTACACACACACACACACACACACGTATATATATATATATATATATATATATATATATATATATATATATATATATATATATAAAGGTATGCCTTTGCTTAGAGGAGTGGTTCCCAAAATTCTTTTCTCTGGGCTACATTTTTGTAATGAAAATTTGATTGTGCCTCACCAAATTTTATTTGATAAAAAGTGCATTTAAAAATAAAAAACAGAAAATGTTAAAGGGAGATAATCACAGATTTCGAAGTCAGAACATTATCATTTGATAACTCTCACCTCCAATTTGCATATCCTCGTTACTACTAAATTCTTAATACTTGATATAATGCAACAATATTACAATGATAAAATTGGTCAATAGTTATTCATAACTATTTATACTTGGATTCATGCATGCATGCAATTACAAGTAATCCATAATAATCTTTTAAATTTTGAAATCATATTTATTTTTGGCATATGAATTTTTCAAAACTATTTCCATATCTTTGCGCCTCACCTACTCTCCTCTTCTGCCACACCTATGAGGCACACTGTAGTGTTTGGGAATCACTGCCTTAGAGGGTATTGACAAAGCAAGAAATTCTTTAAATAGTTCAGGCCCTAGTATAAAGTCCTGGAAAATTTCAGAGCAAATTTTTTTATTGTACAATCTGAAATGACTCTAGGAGTTTAACAAAGTTGGTATAAGCCACCAAGTTGTTAACTTGCACTTAAAAACAAAATGGTTTCAAATTGAGCACCCTGAAATCTGGTCATTAGGGGGAAAATTTAAAATTTATGTTGTGCGCTGTTGGAATGCATGCCATTGCCGCTCACTATTTTCTGGCTTGCACTGCTGTTTGGGCAGGCTATGTTTGTTACTTCACTGTCAGCAGCATTGGTTCCCTTGGACCAATATCCCAAAGTCACACTACCTCAATTCCTCACTGAAAATCAAAAATCATTTCATCATCATGTGGGAGGTTTGTTCGTCATAATAAATAGCATAACACATGGGGTCTGTATTGACAAATCTTTGTTTCCAGTAGGCAAAAGTTGCTAACTACTTGTCAGCAAGATGAGTGAGATGGTAAGGTGAGGGAGAGAACCTTCCTACTACAGTATATTATTTTATTATATATATATATATTTTTTTTTTTTTTTTTTTTTTTTAAGACCATCCATTTGTTACCAAGGCAAAAAAAACTCTCTCTGAAAAAATTGGAGGAGAAAATTTTATTGCCTGAAAATCTTGTCTTCTTGCTCATTCAAAGCCCAATGAAAAGACTTTGCAACATTGTTGATTTCCAACAAGCTGTGTGACGAATCCTGGGATTCTCCTCACGCACAAAACAAGATTTGTTTAATGAAAACAACTGCAAAATCATTGCCAAAGAGGAGAGACACAGACCTCACCCAACCATTATATTTAGGAAGGAAAACTGCTTTCTGTTATATTACACTCTTCAATGTGATCTCAACTCCTTGCATGATAAATAAGGGACAAACCTTCCTAGAATGGCCAAACTTTGTGTTAGTTCCTAACAGCCATGCAAATCTTGACCTTAAAACCACTTGGCTAATTTGATATTAAATATATTTTGCTAACCTTCTTTTATTGTATTGTTTTTGCCTCTTTGTAGATTCTCATCAACACTGTGGCTTGATGCTGAAGATGAAGATGCCATTGCTAGAATTGTGACTACTTGGATGATCACACTTGAGAAACAGGGATGTTCTCTCATGGTGAAATCTGGTAGGTAAAGAAAGACATCATAGGTTTTCTCTCTTCTGAAAACAATGCATTGTTAAAGGAGAAAAATTTAACAATTACTATGTGAGTTTTTTGTTTTTTTTTCTTTTTGTCCATCACCCTACTAAGGCATCAATTTGGATGGCATTCATTCATTAAATAAATTTTTGAAAGAAATTTTGTGGGTAGGAAGAAATAATTAAATGCCTGTGCCCACAGATCCATAGAAGAAATGCTGTTGAAGTTGGTTGAAAGCTTGCTCCAGGCACAAATCAATCACCAATCATGTTGGCAATCTCAGTAAAGGAAAATACACTTGGTTGAGAGTTGAAAAAGTGTAAAAGTTTTTCTTCTTTTTACATTTTTGGTTGGGTCATTGTCTAAAGTCAGAGTACTCATGCAAGTAGGTATAATTGAGGGTTGTCTTGAAAATTAGCAGTTCTTTCTTTAACTCTGGACTTAGCGCAATGTCTTCTATTGGTATTTCAGCTGGATTTTAAATCTGTATCTTGGGTCAGGGATCTGGGTGGACTTTCCTTTAACGATGATTTTTGGTAATTTCAAACTTCTATTTTTAACCATCTTATACTTGAAATAATCTTTTTTCTCTCTCTCTTCTTTTTTTTTTTTTTTTTTTCTTCTTAATGCTGTCATTTAATCTTAATGACACGTGAAATACTTAAGTGGCCCTTTGCTAACACAATTTCCAGCAGTCAGTGTGCTTATATCTGTTAACTAGCTTTTTGATTGACGCCTCTTAACAACAATCCACATTAGTTTTCAACTCCAAATTTTAGTTACATTAGCATTTATTTATTTTCCAGATGATACTAGCTTATTTTTTTTAACCTGTGTATATTTTATATACTAGTAAAATCTACACTACCTATCATATGATCAAATGATTGTTTTTTAACCTGACTTGTTAGCTCCTATAATTAACCAACTAATCAATCGGTGTTATTTTAAACTTCACATACAGCTATCCCAAGTTTCTGTTTCTTGTCATGACATTTCAACTGATATACTCATCGGCCATTCTCAGTACCTCCCCAAAATGTTCAACAAATAAGAAGGAAAAAAAAATTTTTTTCTTTTGAATATCTCAGTGATTGTGAGACACAATAACAAATCTAACTTGTATGTCTCCTTGGATAGAAATAACCAACCTTACTATGCCTGTGATGCTGGCTGTATAGACCCACTTGCATCATTGAGGTAAGAGCTCTTCCAATAAAACATGTCCTTGCATCAACACGACAAACACTTAGACCTCTGATTCTGATGAATGCCTTGAAGTAATTAAAAAAAAAAAAAAAAAAAATATTAGGTAACTTTTAAAATCTATCAGGTACAATACACACTTTCAGGAAAGATGAAAAATATATATTGGTCAGAATTAGAAAGATGAAGAGCCATAATCTGAAAAATCTATAGAATAACTTATTTAGTCTTAGAAACTCCAAAGAGGATCTTATTTTTATCAATGATTCATCTTTTATGGCCAAAACAGTGTCGAGAGAAAATGGAATTAATGTCTCTTTTTCAAAGTATGGCAGGGGAGATAATTGAACAAGAAAACTAAAAAAGAATGGAGTTATGTGCCCCTTGTAAAAATGTCAGCTACGGTTTTAAAAACTTGACAGTAAAATTTTTTGAACTTAAACGTTTTCCTTTTCAAATATTGCAGTAGGTTATTTAGATGTCTCACTATTAATAGAATTAGAAATTTAATAGAAATAGGCTGTCCATTTATCTCTCCTCTGGAGCATAGGGGCCACAGTTTCACAGTAGGTGTTACTGTTGTTTCTCACAGCAAGTACGTTTTTTGAGATGAAGTTACCAGCTTCATGCCTAACAGGTTTTGCATTCAAAGTTGTCCTTTTCCTAGATTAATTTCCAACCAATGATTTTAGAGATCTCAATTTGCTCTGCTATTTAACCCATAGCTCGGGAAGAGATGAATTCATACCTTTTCCAAGGCTATCTGTGCAAAGTGAATGCAATGAATTTGGACAGAATTTGTACTTGGCATGCTGATTCCACTTTCCATGCCAAAAGCTACTATACTACACACAAATCCTGAAATTACTTTCACTTGAAATAGACCTAAGGGAAATGTCTTGGTTTGCTGGTAATAGAATTTACAAGGGTTAAAGGTTTTAGTGACATCTGGTAAATTTACTAATATTTGGTAATTGTAGAAAATTTACTAAATATTAATAAAATTAATCCCAACCCTTGAAAATCACATTTTCAATAAACCAATGCATATATTTGTTACATCTGCTTCTGTTACACAAGCAGCTTATTACACTACTTTTTGTTTTTGGAAATAAATGTTTGATTTTTATTTTATCATTAAACATATTACTTGGTGGTTCAATAAAACATTTTTTTTAATATTTTTTATGTAAATGTCTTGTCCAGTTTTTATCTACTTATCAATCTTCTCATTTTTTGCTTCTGTTCTGTATTTGAAGTTTTGGTATTTTTCATTCTCACCCAATTCCACATTTCTCTTGTGCAGGTGCTGAAGGGGTTTTACAAGCGATGGTCCTCAGCATTGGAGGACTGCATTTTACCAACCACCATTTAGAATTTACTATGCAACCCAAAGATCTTCACAGAGATTATTTCTTCCGTCGCATCAATTATGGTAACAACACTCATCTGAATATCTCTGTGATTGTGGGACAAGATAACAAAGCTAATTTGTATGTCTCTTTGGATAGAAATGACCGACCTTACTATGCCTGTGATGCTGGCTGTATAGACCCACCTGTGTCATTAAGGTAATTACACTTTTACATATCAAATGATTAATAAATGAGATGAGTGAACCTTTGTTATAAAGTATGACAAGTCTGTTGAGGTTGGGGGGAACACCTAACCGATTGCACTCCCAGAAATTATGGGGGTAATAGGCAGAGAGGGAAAGAAGATGGGAGGTAACAAAAATAACACTACCTTGGAAATTGCAGCAACTTGAGAAACAAAAATGCCCATGGGGCCGACATCACAACACACTGATTCTTGCTGACTGCTGATTTTCCACCTGTTTTTATTTGCATGAGGCATCTTACAAAGACCCAGATCTTGACCAGTTACAGAGAGGCCTGTATTTAGACATGCCAAGCTGTTCTGCTGCTAATGGCAAAAACCCAGATGTAACTCGTGCTGAAAAACATATCTGCAGACAATTCCGAGACCTCTTTTGCATCTGTACTGACATGCATTCCCCACACTTTAATGTTTGAATGGCAGGCATCATTAATCATTGTTATTTTTTATTGGAGATCAATTGATAATTTGTTTCTTACTAATCATTTCATCACATTCATCCCAAGCATAGTGATAATGCTAATAAGATGTCGGGGGTTACTGAGTGGAAGAGAACAAGAAGACTTTAGTGAGGACAATAAAAGAACAGGATCCAAGAAAGCAAAGGATGGCGATTAACATTGCATTTGAATTTTTGAAGACTGCAGGTGACTGGGAAGAAAGAAACTGGAAAAGGCAAGAAGTGTGAGAAAAGAAACTATTAGAATAGAACTTAGAGTTACAACTAGCTATTTCAACAGTAAAACAATGAGACCTAGTTGCCAATCTAGTTGTACACTTAAATTGATGTGGTCAAGATACCAAAGAGGAGAGATGATTAGAACAATTGCTATAAAAATATTTATAGAAAAGATAGTGAGAAGTAACAGTGGTGTGAAAGTGGCTGATGTTGAAACGCCAAGTCAAGACCAATAATATTACAGATGCTTCTTTGGATTTTCATGAGATATGTAGCAGGAGCACCATGCCAAATATGGCAGGAATATTCAATGCCTGGATGAATGGTAGTTTTTTAAAATAATGTGCAAAATGGATTCTGTCGAAAAATTGTCTGGCTTAACATGGTGAATCAACTTTCCGAGCAGCAGACCTAGCAATTGATTTAATATAATCACTCCAAGTCATATCAATGGAAAATGTGAGACCAAAAAGGCAATGAATTGCTCTTTAGGAGGTTAGCATCAGCCATGCTGAGGGAAGGCAGAAATTAATCTCTGACCTTTTTTGAATGGTATGGGCATCATTCAATCATGATTTGAATCTAAATGAATAATTGTTGACTCTTGAATTCAATAAGTTACATTATTTCCTGCAAATAAATTTGGAAGAACAAACCAAAGACAGTGTTTTATCAGCATATATATTTTTTGAAGAAAAAAATGGTGAGAAATAGTGACAACTTGATACAAAGAATGTACAGCTCCATGACATGTTTCAAAGAGTATCATACTGTTCCAAAATGTAGGAACTTAACATTTGTTTTATTTTCCTTTTTTTATGAAGGGTATTTTCCTTTGTATTTTATCAGTCCAGTAATCTGATAGCTGCCCTACCCTTATTGCTTGGGAATTTATATAGGCTATGCTTTAGCTATGCTAATTTGGCAGTCATTTACATATTGCTGCACCTTTTTTCTTTATTTTCCTAATATGAAAGAGTTAAAATGTCATCTTTGCATTTATTTTTTTTATGTAATTAAAGTGAAAATATGCATAAAAACTACTTTTTTATTAAAAAAAAAAAAAATTTTCTTTCTCTCTCTTTCTTTTTCTTTCTCTCTCTTTCTTTTTCTTTCTCTCTCTTTCTTTTTCTTTCTCTCTCTTTCTTTTTCTTTCTCTCTCTTTCTTTTTCTTTTTTTCTTTCTTAAATACCCATTTGTCATGCCTATTTGTTCAAAATTTCCTACTGTTTAAAGGTTAAAGGAGATCTTTAAATTGTGTATGTTATTATTTATGTACAGGGCACATCAGGTAATTGAGAACAAATTATAAAGAAAAACAATGTTCAATAGAAAAAAAAATTATTTTCTTAAAATTTGTATACATGCTCAACTTAGATAAAAGGTTATTCAATAAAAAGCCTACTTGTCTTCAAGTTATGACTCAACTGGTGTTACTTTGAAAAAGTCATGAATGCAACCTTTCATGTGTTCTGTCCTATTGCCAGTCATCTTGACATATTAGTATTTTCTACAGTTATGGAGAAAGATTGCTTCTTTAGGATTCTTCAAATCCTAGGGGCAATAGCTCTGCTACTATGATGCAAATAGATTAGTTATAATTAAAAACACAATAATCTTTTAATTCCCAACTTTGCAATCTCTAGATCCTGTTTATTTACTGGTTTCATATTCTGAACATAATTTTTTAAACTTTAAAGAGAAGTAAAAATAAAATTATACAAAGTGTTTTTATAACTCTAAGAATATTAGGAAAGAAAAATTAAAAAATTATAGATGTTAGAAAATTATTAAAAAAAAAAATCAGTTAAAAATAATTTAAAAAAAAGGATTAAATTTTATTTTAATTATTTATGTGTTTATTTATTTTATTTTGTTTTTGTTCAGTAAACGTTGGGCTCAGTTCCCTGTGAAACTAACAGAGCCTATAACATCAATTTTGTACATCACTGCTGACAAACAACACATGGAGGAATTGAAACATGCAATTCATGTTAGAGAAATTGCTGAAGGTAAGCAGTCATTTCTTTCCCTGCAGGTTCACAACAGATAAGATGAAAATTTTAATTTGGCTCTAATTTTCAAGCAATTTTATCTAAAGTCATTAACTTTCCATTTCTGTACTTTTTATTGATTAAAGTTAAAAATTTGACAATGATACCAAAAATAAATTTCCTAATAAACTGATAAATCGAAATCTGGTAATCCCTCACATAAGTGGCATAAAATAATCTATCATTTTATATCTTTAAATTAGGGACCACCATGAGATTGCTGGAAAAATGAGCATAGCATCATAAAAAACTTGATGAAAATAATTTTTTATTGTCTAAATGTTATTATCAAGAGGAAAGATCAAAGTATTTTTTGATTATGTTTTTACATTTTTCAATCATTCCTAGTATGTGCAATATTTTTGATAAAAATCATTTCTTTTTTTTTATTCAGGAAAATTGACACAAAATCAATCGTCAGCTATTTTTTTTTTTAATTTTGTAAACAAAAGTGATTCTTTCTGTTTAAAATTCTATCAAAAATCAATTTTTTTTTTTTAAATTTATTTTCAGAAAATTAGAAATTATAAAGTTTATTTAATATATTTTAAAATAAACATTACTTACTTTTTGTGCCCAAAAAACCTAGTTTAAAATAAGAGAAACCAGGTCTTAACAGCAGTAACAATTGACATGTGTGATAAGTGATGATTTCATTACATATTGACAGCTTACATGAGGAAAAGTTATTGTACAGAAGAACAGAAGTGACATGAATTAGCTTTAAGTGAACCAACTTATTTACCTTGTTATTTTTAAGGAAAAGTTTCAGCTTTTTATTTTATCTTTTTGTTTTTTGTTACTTAGCTTTCCACCTTTACATTTACGATTGAAAATATACTATAAAAAATTTTAAAATAAGATTGTTGAGGGCGGTAATAAATATAAAAAAAAATTTTACGATGACTTTAAAAAAAATAAACATATTTATGATAATTTTTATCATTTGTGAATGGTTTCTGTAAGTTTCATTAAAATCCCACAATAATTTTTATTTTTGCAAGATTTTCAGAATTAATGTCTGTCATTAAAAAAAATGCACTAAATGTTTTACTAGGACATCTGCTGATAAAGAGAAAAGGTTTTTTAATCAAAAGTTAGAATGTTCTAAAAAAGACAGAAAAATTTTTAAAAATGATTAAAAATTACTGTTCTTTCTTAATAGTGACATAAACATTTTGATGATAAAATGTTGTTTTCATCAAGTTTAAGGCCGTTTTTATTATGCTATGCTCATTTTCCAGCAATCTCACAGTGGTGTCTACTTTAAATGTTTTTTTCATCGTAAATATTATTGTGCCAAATGGTGTCCTGGCTATTGGGTATTTGGTTGTATTGAGCGGGGTTTGGGATAGTGTTAGTTGAAATGCCAGCAAGCAGAGACTCTGAAAAGGCAATTGTGTGGTATATTCAGCCTGGAAGTCATATTGTTTCAGATAGCTCGACTGCTTATGCTGGAATCAAGGCAATCAACCATCTCATGATGTTGTTATTCATCAGCAACATTTTGTGGAACCTGCAGTACAAAAACAGTCCCGTGTCTTCAGCATTTATTTGCTGCATAGTCCACCATTTCATGTTGCAATAATGTTTAATTGTAACAAACGTATATACCTTGGTCTTATTGATTTTATGCCGTTCAGAAAATAGCAATTTATTTTATGCCACTTAAGTGAAAGGTTATCTGAAATCTTATGTGGCATGTGTCTCACAGCTATCTACTAAGCTTACCTTAGTCCAGAACAAGGCCAAGTGAAGGATAAAGATTGCACCAATCTTCCAAGTGTGGAATGTCCTACCTTAAGCTTCTGTATTTGAAGTTTTGTAATTGAACACTGTTATAAATGCATGTATGATAGCACCAAAAAAAAAATGAAACAACATGTACTGCTAGTGAGGTGAATAGACAAGAATTGTTAAGATAAAAATCTTTGTATTACTGATACAGAGAATCAAGGCAGAATGTCACTTTGTGAGCAAGGGAAGTCACTAGTGGTAATGGTGACAGCTTTGTTGCAACTGCTTTACAGTGTCTTGAGCATTGTTCTTAAAAAGCAGATTGGGTGAATCATGAGACATCATGTACTTTTTTGTTATGTTTTTGCTTTAGCAGCAACATTTGTGATTAGCTCCTTTTTGTGAGGTGGATGTGATTTTCGGAGCCCCTGTGCAAAGGGTGACTTTTATTTTTAGGTTTACTTTCTTAGCGTTCACACCCATCGAACAGGTAAATCAGAAAAGAGGTCTATTTTGAAGCAGGGTATGACAAACATTAAGAAATATATTCTACTTCTGTAAAGTTGTGGGGGGGGGTGTCCTTATAATTTTGAAACGGCTATTAGGATAACATCAATTATCTCTTCATTTACATTGAATTACAGAAATAATTGGAAATCAAGTTGACTGAATTTCCCCTCAGTTCTCATCTTTTTTCACGAATAAGAAAATGTTAACATGTGAGTGACGTCAAAGTCCGACGCTTTCAGGCATCACGTCAATCCTCCTTGCTGGCGCCACGTCGATGGATAGTATTCAGGCGTGATGTTCTAGCTTTAAATTCAAATTTTCACATTTTCAGACCTCAATGGAATTAGAAAGTTTTGCATTGTTTTTGTTAAATTTCATATTCAAAGAAATGTTCAGGTAGTCAGTTTGGATTGTTAAAAAAAATTAAAATTTTTTGCTTGCTAAATTTTTCTTTATGTATGGATTTTTGAGATGCAAAGTAAACATTATTCCCATTCAGACTAATATCCTCATACTTGTTTTTGCTATCACAATGTTTTAGCGATCATGCCTGCTACCTTTTTTCAGGTATCTGTCGGTCTGGGTAACCTTTAACAAGCTGAAAAAATGAATCCTTTATTTAATCTACTGGGTAGATTATTCTCATTCTGCTAATCCCTTTCAAGGAATATCTTGTTCTCCTTTTAGTACTTCTCAATTATTGCTCATCTTGTTTTCACTCACATGTGAGTTCAAGCCCAGGGATGGATAGTATTATACAGACATAGATTCAGTGGAAAATGGGTGAGCAATAACTGAATGGTACAAAAACAAATAAGAGATATCCCTAGACATGGACAGTGAAAAGAGAACTGTAGATTAAATAAAAGATCCATTTCAAGATGCCCTGAAAGTTACTTGGTTCAAAAAGGGGGCATCTGTAGAAGGATAGAGGACAGAATTAAATGTTGTTCTAACTACAAGAAAGATGAGGACATTAGTACAAATGTAAATAAAATTTGTTTTAAATATTTATCTTCGATGCATAATATACATACTTTCTCCCTATTGTACACAAACAGTTTAAGTTTGTATAATTTCTTCTGTAATTGACATAGTTTACAGATTGTAAACAGCTATTAGGGAGATTTGATTAAATATACTTTAATGTTTTAAAAAAAATTTATTCAGTATTATTGTTTAGGTAATAAGCATTATAACATAGCACAAATAGCTATATTATGGGAAAAGGAATTTTCCACAATATACGCATTTTTTACGTATTTATGGTTATTTTTTTTAACTTTTGTCAAAAATGACATTCTTGTATATGTAGCTATGGATAATATTATACATTAATTACTAATTTTTTTAATTAATAACTATTTGTGCTCAGTTGTTGATGTTAATAGCTATCTGCTGATGTGTTAAAATTTTGGAATAATGCAATAATAAAAATTTAAATATCATCTCTCTGTGTGTAATTTTGAAAGAGTTAATGGATTTATTTTTAATCAAACATTTTTGGGAAGTTTTTGTGTTTTTGCCATCAGTAAAAAATTTCTACAAGATTTTGTTAGTAATGTTTGAATACAAATGTCATTTGGTCATGTTAATTATTTTGAACCTAATTGAACAAAAAATTAATATTTTCTTACCCATTTTCAGGTAAAAAAATAAAAATACAAAAAAAACCTGTATTTTTACCTTTTCAGCCCCACCCACATTTTTCTTTAGGTATGTGTATTTATTTACTTAGTAAAAATGTTTCTCTTTTTTTTTTTTTTTTTTTTTATCTTGCCAGCACCTGCTCACGAACATCATGTGATAGCTTTGCACAAGCACGGTCACAAATTTGGAGGCCTACCCACTCTCTTTTGGGTGTCTATTGCGTTCCTGGTCATTGTTTTCCATCTCTTCCTCTTCAAGTTGATCTATAATGAATATTGCCAAGGACAGGAGATTTTCTCACGGTCAAAATATAATTTGTGAAGAACAGATTCTCTTATGACAGTAAGGAAAGAGATCAGCACAAAAGAAGCAACCCTCCTTTATATAGTTCAATAATTGGAAGAGAGGAGGGAAAAAAAAATGCAAGTTTTATTTATTTTTTTTTTTTTATTTTTAAATAAAAATAACCATGTTCATATTGGAGAAAATACATTTTGTTGCATTTAGTCTTGGTGAGATTTTAAGAAACCAACAGCAAATAAAAATCGTTTTTTTTTTTTTTTTTTTTTTTTTTTTTTTTTAAGTGTAAAAATAAAATATCTCAATGAGACTTATGAACATCTAACAGCAATATGAAACATGGTTAAAAAAAAAAACGAACTAAAAAAACACCAAGAAAATCAACTTAAAAAGAAATAGACAAATGACATTTTTGCTGTCTTACTTTTTTTTTTTTTTTCCCTATGTAAATATAAAGACTCAAGTTTTCATTTTGTTTCTCTATTTTCCGCTCTTTCTCTCCTGAGTAGAAGAAAAAAACAAAAAACAAAAAAGGTTGATCATCAGGTGGGGGAACCATATTGTCATCTTTGTTATTATAAAAGAGGGGGTATCAGAAACACATGTGAAAGTCCTATTGACAATCTTTCTATAAACTTGGGTTAATTGACTTCATTTACAACAAACTTTTTTTTTTTTTTTTTTTTTGCTCTCTAATTGGGGTTTTTAGTTTTTGGCCACTTGTTATCTCTCTTGTAGTCTCCAAAACACTTTGGGAGTCAAAGTTCCTCGGTTCAATTTTTGGTTAATAGTTACAGAAGTTCATGTCAAGGATAATATATTTAAAAAAAATAAAAAATAAAAAAGAAGCAAAGCAAATTAAAGTATTTACTTTTAAAAGACTTTTAACAATATTACATGTAAACAAACAAAGCAGATTTCACTCTAGTAATTAACAATGCCTCTGATTTTTATTTTTTATTTGTTTGTACCTGTATGAAATGGAAGATCAGTAATCTTCATCTGGTTTCTAAATGGACTTATACCTTAAAAAGGTTAAAAAACCATACTCAGAATACAGCTCCAAGTCTGCTAGTAAAACTCACTTATTGTACACTTACCATGGCTCGATTCTAAATGGGCCTATACCTTGAAAAGTTTAGAAAACGATGCTCGGAATACAGCTGCAAGTCCTCTAGTAAAACCCACTTATTGTACACCTACCATGGCTTGATTGAAACACAAATAGTAAATGTGAATAAAATGTCTTCATCAAATTTTCATCAGATTAAGAGTGTTGACCTACAGGATTTGTGGCTGTTCTGATGTTGATATGAGAATCGGAGCCATGAGATTTTTTTTCTGCTGTCAACTGAGGTCACTTAACATGGCTCTAGAAAAGGTGCTTAAAAAAAAGGGACTTTATTATTTGAACTTTTTATTTAAATGTTTTTATTAATTTATTTTTTAAACATCCCACAAAGTGCTGGATGTTTTCTAATATTTCATCAATGAACTGACCCCCACTTTAATGTTCCTTGTTAAGAGAGGGGGGGAAAAAAAAAGCATTAAAACTATCATAGATTCAAATTAATTTTCCCACCAGTTGAGATGGGGTTTGAAGGGGTTAGATTTTCTATACTTTCATTTTTGAACTGATACTACCACCTTTTCATGTAGACAGACTTGGTGGTTTGTATGGTTTGAGAAATTTTATGTGTGATTTTTTTTTTTTTTTTTTTTGGCCCCTGTCCTCACATCATGAGTCTGTTTGGTGTAAGAACCCCTCTCTTACGAAAGGGACAAGATAAACTTGTTGACATTTATTTTGTAAAAAAAAAAAAAAAAAAAAGAAATGGTCAGATATCTTGAGTAAATATTGCGTTTTAGCACCCTGAGTCTAAGAGTTTAGTTTCTTTCAGCCTTTTTGTATGCAAATCATTTTTTTTTTTTTTTTTTTTTTTTTTCAGCCTTTCCTTGTATCCTGTCTCTCTAACTTTACTGTCATTAATTATGCAAAAATGTACGCATTTGAGGAGAGATTATTGTTTTTGTTAGATGATCAAAGTGTTAAGATCTAACAGCCTTCTCATGGGAAATGTTGATGATTATACCATCATATCCATCGATGGGATTTACTTTTCTTTTCAGTTTTGACTTTAAGAACACTAGCAGCAAAGAGTACCCTAATTGATAAGAGGTTGGGGGGAGGGAATGTATACGGTGCCTTAATGAACATTGTATAAAACATTCCCTTGTTGAAGGCCAGTGTACGTGATGTGTAAAAACAATGAAGATAGTGGGGACGGAAAATGTGACACTAAAGCCCAAGGTTACATTGGGGATAGTAAAACTAAGCAAAGTATTAAAAAAACAGAAAAATCTCATTAGGAACAAAGAAAAGGTTACTGAACTTTTATCGGTCCTGCTATATGGCAGTGAATGTGAGATCATCTCATGATAGATGAAAAAAAAAAAACTTGAGACAGAAATGGGGTTTTACAGATGCTAAGGGTAGCAGGAGAACTACACCTAGGACAATTGCCTCCATTAAGAGAAAGCGCAACTTGGGGTGGGGAATAAATACTAATAAAACTAATTAGGGCTTTATTTTTTTTATCTGTTATCCAATAATAAGATTTATATTTTTGTATCACTAGAATTATACAACTAAAACTGCAAATTATTGGCAATACATCTCAAAAAGTTCAACACAAGTTAGTTCCCAAAGTCTTGTACAATATTTGCTATTCAGGTCAGGTAAGGATAATTACTAATAAAAATCATTAGTGTTTTATCCAGTAAGAAGAATTATCCAATAATAAGATTCAGGTTAGGTCAGGATAATCCCATAAACTTCAAGATGGCTTTTATAAATTTATGTTAGTTTTGTTTTTTACTTCAATAACAATTAAAAAATTTCCCCTTTCCATTGTCTGAGAACAGTTATCCTATGGTGGGGGGCAGTTGTCCCATAACTAATACTGAGAATACCATGGACTGAACACGTGAGCAATGACAAAATTTTAGAGAAAATGAACGAGACTTATACTTAACATCAGAAAGAGGCAGTTGAAATTTCTAGGGCACATAACGTGGAAAGAGGGCTTAGAAAATTTGACACTCACAGGATATATTGAAGGCAGGAAAGCAGCACATGACCTAACTAGAAAGCTTGTTTAAATGGTTGGCAGAAGAGGAATTAGGACTGATGGTGAAAATACATTTGCTAGGAACTACAAAGGACATTAAGTTGTGAAGAGACATGATAGCTCATGCCCTGAAGGGATAGACCACACAGTAGTCGTCTGTGGAATACTATGGCTAGGATAAGCCATGATAATTTCAGGACCCTTCGTTTCAATGCCAAATGTAACACTATAGATGATGACCAGGCTTGCGTTCCATTTTCTAGTGACATCTGGCACGGGAGCCTCATTCATATTCTGTTTAGATCTGAAGCTCAATTGAAATGTTGTAAGCCCAATCCAGCCACATGTCATGTAAAAGTTAAAGATGTATTCCCAAGGTGACAAAGACCAAGATTTTTAACAAGAGATTAATAATAATCACTTTATTCTTGTTGTTGAGTACACAGGTTTTTTTAAACTCATGTTTTCCTTTCTCTAGTTTTAATGTTTGACAGCATTACATGGAGGTTGGACCTTAAATCACTCATTCATAACTAGAATGAGTAAAGGGAACTGTAGCTTAAGATGGGGGAGAAGTTGGCCTATTAGGAAGGAATTAACTTTTGACAAATCTTTCTTATGACAACTGTTAATGATAATATCATGCTCATCCTTGTTTTATTTTTTTTCCTCACAATATTGCTTCTACGGACATTGACAGCCAGGTGCTCTAATTTACAAGACAGGAAAATAGTATAAAGTGCCTTAAGGACCTTTATTTACAGCCTTCTCCTAAAGGCAACTAAAATATGTTGGCCCAAACATGACAATAACATTTTGAAAAATATGCATAACACTACAGTTGGGACAATCCAGGGTAACCAAGTTTGGTTTGTTTTGTTTTATGGCATATCAACCTCAATGGATTTTTTAATGCCGACAAGATTTTTGTTGCTGGTAATATTTTTTTCCAAAAATGTATTGCTGGTATTAAAACCTATTTTTTACACTTTCATAATACTTGGACCCCAGTTTGGGGGGTTAACTATTTGCCCATAGCTAGGACCCTAACAGGTACTACCACCCTGGACCTGGGAACACCAGCAATTCCGTGCTCCTCAAATCCTCCTGATCAGAGGCCTTACTGTTGGAAGTAATTTCGTCATCTTACCCAGGACGTGGTAATCTCAAGATCAGGATCCTTATTTACTCTGCCAATTGTAATATTTTAGATGGAGGACAGACCCTCGTTCCATTCTCTAGCTTGGTAGCTTTTAGAATAGGAGACTCCTCCACTCCTGTTGTTTTTTTTTAGGAGAGCTGAAGAAGTTCCAAGATCAGAGATGAAATGTTGAAAATCTGCCTGAACCAGGTGTCATGTAAAAACTATAATTGACCATTTCCCAAGATTGTCGTTGCTCCTCCTTAACTCCAGTCAAAGATCAGAACATCTTAAGCAAGATATTAATATTTAATTTATTCTAGCTATGGAGTTCATAGGTGTTGAAAACTAGTATCTTCTTTCCCCTAATTGGAAAGCCAAATTAAAATTGCATTTAAGTTTGTTATATTCACTTATGCACTTTGGAGAAAAGCAAGAATCCATCTCCTCCCCCAGCTATGGTTTAAATAGTAGGACTTGTATCAGGAAAATTGTTAGCTCCCAAAACGTTGCTAATGCAATATTCATTTGAGCAAAAAAAAAAGAATATATTACACTCATACTGTTGTCCTTATCTTCATTACATTTCAGGTTCCAGCAGTCTTCAAGTGACTGGAATTTCAAACTGAACCCTTTATTTGGGTGGATTGTTCTAGTTCCACAAGCAATGCTTTTTCCAAATGTCTCAGTATTAGTTATTTCCCTTTAATTCAGTTCTGAGTGGTAGCCAGTTATTGAACACACAGCTC